TTATTCCCGGTTATCGTCACTTAATTAATTGTCCTACTTTGGAATCCACAAACGTGGAGGGACGTAGCTTTTAAACCCTCATTCCTATTTAAATAAAACAATTTTGAACTGAAATTTACTTAAAGCTTACAAATTATTTTAACCACGACCGGACGTTTCGGAGGCTTTGCAGCAGCCGTGGTTGCGAGGAGACTGACCTGTTTTAAACCGTTAAAAATGTTTTACTTAAATGTGTACTACTCGCATAATCTACCGACAGTACCTCATTCCTATGATAGAGGCCGATGGCCAGTTGTTAGGTTAAAATAGAACACAACGCTTGAAGCACAAGGTAGTTTTATAATTTGTAAGATGAAAACGCCGGGATGTTTAATCGCGTTTCCGTTACAGTCTGTGGAATTCTGAATATTTAAAAGTTATCTATATTATAGGGGATATTTCATCTACCATCGATGAATCCCATGCTTGTCTATCCTTATCTATAATTTTTTTTTAAATGTAAAAAATAACGATTTAGTCTATGACACGCCTAACGCATTTCATTAGCATGATTCAGTTTCAGCGATGGACGAACGTGACGTGTAATCAAATGGCGGAGGAATTGTGAAAAGTACAAATCCAATTTTTACATAAAATTTTCGAGAACTATCTTTAGTTACCTCGATGTAATAGTGATAATCACAAACAATCTAATTACGCCTAGTACGACTTTTAATTGTGTGGGGCAGGACTTCGGCATCCACAGCGCTCGAGCCAATTCCTGTCCAAATCGATTTTTTTTTTTCATATTATTATCGATTTTTAATTCATATAAATTATGCCATCATGTCCAATGATTAACATGTTCCACATATTTCTAATAAATTTGTATTTTCTCAGAAACATGTTCGATATGTTGAGAATATCTAAATACTGGCCTGGTAACGCACCAACGTCCACGGACAAAAAAAAACGTGAAATAAATAATTGATTACATCTTAGCTCTTTAACAATTCCTACAATGGAACCCTGGCCTCCTAAGAAATATCAACCACGTGGATTTTTCATAAATAAACTACTAAATGCCGATATTACTGGAAATTATTACGTCTTTACGCATAGGATACGAAATGCATAACTAAGTTAAGGCAATAGCCGTTTCAGCACAAAGATAGACTAGAAATAACTACTAACCGTTAATTACCTCTCTATACGACAAATTACACTGACAAACTGCGTGGAACTTATAGTATAAGGGCCCGTTATCGTTAATTTAGTGGTTACTCGAGCTACACGGTTATCAATTGCTTGTGTTCAAAAACAGAAGCTTTAAGCATTCTTTGATAATTTTGGCAAAAGCATTAACTGAAGTTCTAATTTAACTTGCACTTTACAAGAACCCGTAGTCGTGCAAGTCGGACTATTTTCTATCAGAATCAATAAATATCGACCAAAAACACGTTTGCTGGATGAGAGTAAAATATAAGAATAAATATATTAATATTTTATTTAAACTGAAGAGAAAAACTATAGAGTGTTCATGAGTTCTGTGGTTAACGGACTGAGACTGGCTGGTGGCAGACCCACAGAGAGCTGAATTAACTCCTCAGGTACAAAGCCCTAGATACTATAACGTGCGCGCTTTAACTTTCTAATGATAGAGGAAGCCAGAGGAGCACGAGGTTCACTTGGTTCACACGTATTCTGGCTTTGGATATTCGGAAATCTACAGACTGAAACCGAGACGCGATTAAACTTCACGGCTTTTTCATCTGTGGACAGTGGTTCGTGACCAGTCTTTGACAGATAGTTGTTGTCAACTAATGTCTAGTGATTAACACTATTGAGTTACAAAATCGCCCTGCAGAACGGAATTTATATATCCTATCAACTATTTAATATCCAGATTTCCAGACGAAGTAACATGTCTCAGAAAATGTATAAATTGAATAATTAGAAATACGTTGGACCCGGTGGAGATCGAAGCAGCTATACATTGCTGCCAACATTGGACTAACTAGTCCGTCAAACCTAATACGTATCTGAAGTGCTTTAGTAAATATAAAAATCCCAAGTGAGCTCTGCTACTATTAGTAATGACAGTTAATTAGGGATGTTTAATTTAACTGTATTTCCTAGTGAATAGTGACCATTCATTGAGGCTGTGTGTAGTTTAGACCCGCTTCGATTGATATGCGTTGGTGAATTGATATTAATTATGATGTACGTTTGCGTGCGCTAATGATTATAGCAATAGGACGCATGATTAAGTTTTGAATAGATCGTTAAATGTGGAACCAAATTAATTAATATAATATGTTGTAATCGTCACTCTAAATACTAAATAAGCATCTAACATATTCTCTCTTATTTTAGACTAGCTGTGTGAGCGACTTCGTCCGCGTAGAATAGTTATTTTGGGCATCCAAATTTATCTTTATAAATATATGCCATGACGCCGGCCGCGTCCCGTCGTTCTTCCAAATTTATCTTAAAGACATATACTTAGTGTCGCGGACATTTTTTTACATTATTGAAAGAAGAATGATAGTTTCATACATAATTCTTGGGTATATTGGACAGCATAGGTATATGGTTCGCGTCAGAAACTCACAAACGTGAATAATATTCCCCGTTTTTTCCACATTTCCCTCTGTTTCTTCGCTCCTATTAGTCACAGCGCGATGTTTTATAGCCTTCCTCGATAAATGCACTAACCAAAAAAACGATCTTCAATTCGACCCAGTAGTTTTTAATACTTTTGTTTATATTACTTAAGTATATTAGTATAGATTACGTTAACGGGGAAAGTAGAGGGCGGGTAAGGTAACAGTTGCATTTATGCTAAGAAAAATAACATATTCTAATTTCATTTTAAAGTAATCAAGAATCAAATAATATTTCAAATAAATATTTTAATCTCACTCAAATGGCTACATTTATATGTAGTTTACCGCTAAATTAATAAAAATTATGTAAATTAGTGGACAGATAATGGTGACAGGCAAGTGTAAAATTATCACAAAGTCACAGATGCTACAATCGTGCAGTTGCCTCTTTCAAAACATACATAGACAGAAGCTATTCCGCTATTGTTTAAACAATAATGTTTGAGGGGCTAACAGGCAGGCTGAGACGCGGCCGTTCCCCCCAATGCCTTATTGTGGGAATTCTTTGTTTTACACCTGTTATATGGAAATCGTTATGAGGCCTTTTATCGGCTTAGAAATATAATCTGTATTTAGCTGTTTGCATCTAGACACATTTATTTTTCTATGTATCGTATAAAAAAAACAAGTTGTCAAAAACATATTTCCAATTCCGTACATAAAAAATATTTAACTTTAAATAAAACACTTTTCACTTTTCCCTTGGTTAAAATAAGTTAACTTGTTTTTAATATCGCGTTTTATACTGTTAAAAGTGTTCGATTTAAGAGTGCAAACTCAGACAGTACTTAAATTAAAGTTTATTAATTCCATTGTTATAATTATTTAAATACCATGTAATACGTAAATTGCAACCAACGACAAGGACAGGCCAGGTTTCGAAGTAATTACCTTTTATTTATTATGTCATGAACGGACGTAAAACCCAACTTCCGTAATGTAGACTTTTCTATCATTTGCAAACGAATTTTTTATTATTAGAATTTACATGAAAAAAGTAAATTCCAATTTAATTATAAGACCACTGTTCCTTTATAGAACCACCTACTCATCAATAAGCCCTAAGCATAGCTCAAAGGCACAAAGGATCTTTATAACAAAATAGGTATTGCCATAATATGCTCCACAAATGGATTTTACAAGATATCTCTCTGTCTCTTTTGCGAAATTATATAATCATATTACCAGCAATTGAATTCTAAAAGTTATACTAGACTACTAGAGCAATTGATTTAATATTTTTACGGCTTATGATACCATATTTTTTTTCAGCGTATAGAATTTATAATCATATGTTATCAGCGCTATCTGTTTTGACACATATACTCTAGGTACTAATGCAAAAGACGCTTGAAATATTATTAGTACATTAAAAATTCGATAGATGGCTCTGACATAAATGAGCATATATTTGTAACCTAATCGTTAATGAAACCGAATTATTATTATTGTTTTAGTGTATGTAATTTATAAATTGATTAATGCTTAATTACAATATTAGTTGCTGTATTTTAAATATGGCCAATAATGTTACTTGTAATTTGTGATATCATAAGCTTGCAACACTAAAATTAACGCAGTGTCAACGTTTGACAGTCAAACTCGCTCAAGCGAGTCGGGCAAGTGGTTGTGGTCATAGTTTTATCGTTATTTTTTACGGTTTCGAAAGGTTATTGTCGCTTTATCTAATTCCGCTTGTATGTAAACGTGAATATACCCATAAAAACACATATATTTACGCTGTGTGGCCGCTAAAAAAACGTTTAAAACATATCGTCATAATGCGGTTTTGTTTTTAATTTTATTTGAATGGTGAAAGATGGACAGAAAACTCATTTGGTGTCTTTTTTGCGTTTCTTATCGGACATGACAGAGAAATGTACTAGTTCCTGTAAAATAAATATTCTACCATTCTTGTGGTAAGTACTGTCTTGTTTACATTCCAAAACACTATATTGAATTAACATATACGCTGTTTTTTATTGTTATACTCGAAAAGTACGGCATAATAAGTTAAAAACTATTATTAAAATATTTGAAAATATGTAATAAAAGTTATAGAAAAAGCTATCAGCATTTTTAAGTGACAGTTAGTTTCTTTCTTCAATGAAGTTCTTGTAGAAAAACCTGTTTTATTATTTACAATTCTAATTTATATTACTTCACTGAAGTATTAGCAGACAGTTTGTCCTTAAACAAAGATCCCCTAAGGACTGCCAAATAGCCTTATTTTGAGCCACTTAAATACAGGCTAGGCACTTATATGGTCTAGTCAACAAATGAAAATTAAATAGTGTTGTTTTTTTTATGCGTCTCAAATTAATAAATCTTTACAGAAAATCATATGCAATCATGGCTAGTGATGAATCCAGCGTACGTGTTGCAGTAAGGTATGTATTCTATTATATATTATGGTATTCTATTTTTTATAATATAGAACTAGAAAATAAATTTATATGTGTTTATACTAAAAATTCTGATAATTTATTATAAAAAACATTGTAAGACACAATTCTAAGTATGTAAAGTGAAAAAAACCTGTCCCAATAGAATTTGTGTCTTTTTCGTGGACTTATACTTTATCCAACCTAAAGTAATTCTTCATCAAAACTTAACCCTAGAACCTTTTATATGCAATACAAGGTTAATAAGAAACCAATGTCTTACAACATCGGCAAAAAATTCAAGTTTATCTTAATTTCTCAACCTTCATTTTGTCATACAAATTAGTAATGCACTACACAACCAAATGTTGCCTATTTCTTTATTTGCACAAACAATTCACATGTTTTGCACAGTTTCAAAACAATTGCTACATGTGTCTTTTGATGGCCACTTATGCCACAACATCCCACAATGCAACAATGTTATAACTATGAATATCTTAGTTATTGATTTATTATTCTCAGCCAGGATTGTTTATTATAGATGTGTAAGTGATTTCTTTATCTAGAGTAAATACTACTTAAATTTTTTGGATCTTTTTTTCTTAAAAAAGAAGTTTTTACTGGTACTTTATAGTTGATACTGTGCTTGTTTTCGGAAATTTTAACTTTTAATTGTAGAAATCTACTAATATAGACCGAATAACTGAGAGGGAAAAAACGAAAAAGTGCGGGTCGAGTTCACGGACTAAGCGTTTCTTAGTAGGTACATTTTTTTTAAATATTTTGTCACCTTATTTTAGTTGTTTTAATTGCGCACCAATTGTTACCATTGATTGATATCAAGCAAACATTGACGTATGGGAGGCTCCCTTGTTTTTTTTTTATTTGTATTGGTTCTTAAGAAGACAGCTAAATTTCAGTAATAGAGCTTGTTTTTTATTGAGTTTCGTTATATAGAGTTTAACATTGTATTTTTATAACAGGCACGTGTTTGAATTGGTTACTTGTTCTCGCTAAGTAAAATAACCTTCGACATAGGCTTATACTTCTCTGAACTTAATGCGATATATCGTATTCATATTTTCTTGTTATCAGCGGAATGCGCAACTTGACGCTAGCAGGCGCATTCTGAAAATTGCAATAGATTAATGCATTGGATAATCAGTATACTAGTAATATGTTCCGGGAACGAAAAAAAAGTAAACTGTTGCGTCATCATGAGCCTGACTTCTATCAATGGCATTATCATTAATATAATATTTTATTAAATAATATATTAATATTGAAGATATAAATTAACTAGCTGTGTCAGCGACTTCATCCGTGAGAGTCGTTATTTTGGGCATCCAAATTCGTTTTTGCAAACGCCTTCATCTTTATAAACTTAAACTGTTACCCGCGAAGTCGGTCGCGTCCCTTCCCGTCGTTCTTGCAAATTAATCTTAAAAGATATAGCGTCGCGGACTTCTTTTCAGTTCATTTAAAGGGGGATTCATTCTTTTTTTACATATTTTTTGGGTATCTTAAAACGTTCTTGCAGCGTCTGCCTCGAAAGCCCGTAATGATGAATAATTTTTTGCCGTTTTTTACTCATTACCCGTTGTTTCTTCGCTCCTATTTGTCACATCGCAATGTGTAGGCCTATACGCATTCCTCGATAAATGCTCTACCTAACACAAAAACAAATTTTTCAATTCGAACCAGTAGTTCCTGAGATTAGCACGTACAAACAAACAAACTTTTCAAATTGATATCTATACTAATTACTAATAATTATAGATATAAATTTGATTAAATAGATACGTATATAATTAGAATTTATAATAATTGGGCTTACAGGAAAATTACTTTATTGCGAGAAAAAAAATATTAGTATCGATTATATAACATTTAAAAAGTCCACAGTTCTAATTGAGCCTACAGTTAACAAACTAAGAAATACGTGTACTATAAATACTTAACATAAATATATTATTGGCTAACTATGTTTGTAGTTCATACTATACGACGTATGCGAGGCGTAAAATTCACGAGCAAAGTTCAAACGTCGGTTACATCAGAGCCACACCTTGCCTCCATCAAGTAAACGTTCAAGGAGCGACATTTGTCACTTGCGATTTCTGCGTAGTGCTATGTTAATATTTAACCTCTAAATTAAGCATAGATTACGTAAACTTATATACTAATATTATGAAGCTGAAGAGTTTGTTTGAACGCGGTAATCTCAGGAAGTACAAATTCGAATTGAAAAATTCTAAGCCTTGGTTAGAATTTACCATTTATCGAGGAAGGCTTTAGGGCTTCGGCTATAAAACATCAGGCTGCAGACCAATTGAAGAAGGAGAGTGGAAAACGAGGGAATGTGGAATAAACTAGGAAAGTTATTCATTTTTGAGGGCTTCCGTGCGTGATGATTCTTCTTTAAATGATCTCTAAAATATACGAAAGTTTATGTCTATCTCTTTAGATTTACGCGCACGACGGGACGCGGCCGTAGTCGCGGGCGCATTTAGTTGCTTGTAATCAACGGGTCGATCTTCACCAGTCTACTAAATTTATAATTTTTCTAAAACATGTTGGACTTTATTTGGATAGTATATAGTAGCAAGAAATATCGAAATTACGTCCGGGTCACGAACCGCTGTCCACAGATAAAAATGCCGTGAAATTGAATAGCGTTCCGCTTTCAGTCTGCGGATTTCCGAAAGTCCAAAGCCAATATAGGTCGATAGCCCCTTTTATTAGAATGTTTTATTGCTGGGATATTTCACCTTTCACCAAGTGATCTCCTCTGTCCTGTTCCGTCATAAATAAATATTGCCTGGCGCGATTGATTGACTACGAAAATGCTGCGATATTTTAAGTTGAATGGTTTTAAATAATTATAGTAAATGCCTAAAAACTATTTTTTTAATTTTTTATTCAATTTTAATTCCGGGGATTTTCATCGTAGTAGGAGACATCGTGAAGTTCAAAATATTTCCTGTGAATGTAAATTGACACGATATCTTTGGAGACTAAGGGGCTGTTTAGTCTTTCAATAAGCAGATTATATAGATGAAATGATGGACTAGAAGCTGGTAACTTTCTATCGTTATGCTGACTAAACGCGATATCTGAAGGTGGAAATTAATATAAGTATTTAATCAATTAGAAATAGAACAGTAGGTAGAAAATTTAAAGAAGAAAGAAAGAAATTTAAAAAATCGACAAGTTCTTCTTGTTCTTCTTCAAGGATATTTATGTAGCAAAACTCTTATATCCCATCTTAAGAACTATCCTGCAGTAGTATTAATTGATTCGTCTTCATTTGACTTCAGTGGATTGTTTTTATTGAATGTTTGATGCGTATTGATCTAGACTTTTGTCGGAGCGTCCTTGTTCCGTAGCACGCGTGTTAATACATTATTCATAGTTTAATATTCCAACAATGGAGCGTGTTAAGATATTCTATTTTATAGCCGTAAGGTGAGCGAGATATGTTTATTTGGATTGAAATGCATACAGACAAACAAAAGTCTAGTCTTCATAGCAGCTACCTCCGCTATGAAGACTAGAAAGTTTTTTTGTTGTCTATTAGTATTAAGCGACTGGCGTCTGGAGTTCAAATCTCGTGGATAGACAGATCATTTCGATGGTTGAGAGATAAGACTTTTATTTCTTAGCGTTTACGGATCTTTCGTACAGTATCTCTAATTATTATATAATCATAACATTAAACTGTCATTTGAGTTAATAATAGGAGTTGCGTCATTGTGTAATTAACTAATGTTGTGGTTTACTGGTTACTATTGATTTCACTTCCTTCAATTCATCTGAGAACCAAAGCATATAAATATTGTCTGTATTTTACACGAGTAGTGCACATTGAAATAAAACGTATCAACGGTTTAAAACGAGATATATGTTAGTTAAACTTATTTAAAGCAAAGCATATAAAGGTAATTTTCGATATTTCTCGAACTGTGCATTTGTCCGGACAGATTAGTATCATGCTAACGATTAGACCTATAGCATTTATTAAAAATTCTTTGAAAAACAAAGTCGCATTCAGTAAGTTGATATAGTGACTTGCAAGTTGTATTACAATAAGTAACCTGTCATATAATAATTGCTATGATTGATCATTGGCTATTCAAAACATTGTCGCGACTCGTATTGTTGTTATTAATTGAAATCATAAATAAAAAATAACTTTGTAAAGTAAAGATTGGTAAGGGCATCTTCTGGGTCAGCATGCTTTTCTTTTGCGCCGCATCACCTTTAAATAAAACACTTTAACGGTTTAAAACGCGATATGTTAGTTAAACTTATTTAAAAATGATTTTTAACTTCGGCCCGACGTTTCGGATGCTTTGCAGCAGCCGTGGTCACGAGGAGACTGTGATAATTAATTAACTAATATATCGCGTTTTTAACCGTTAATTTTTTTATTTAAATGTGTACTACTCGCGTAAACAGACAGTACCGCATTACCTCTTTTCATCGGGTGTAATCGTGAAAAATAAGAACTAACAAGCACAATTTATAAACATCTTATTTATTAACTTAATTAAAATTGTAACTGGTTTCAAAAAGATTATTGAATTTTTCCCAGTTCAAGAAAATAATATACTTACGTAGTTATGTTATTTGTTAGAAATAAACGAAAAAATCATTAAAAAGAGATTTCTTTAAAGTAAACATTGAATTATACTTGTCAGTATGTTATAATGTGTTATTGTTTTTAGGTTTTAAATATAATTTGATGTCCACTACTTTTTATTTCAACTTAAAAGTTTAATCCACAAGTTACACAACCACCTTTGTGATGTACAGCGGGAAAGATTAAAGTATTTCTTGGTTTTTCAAACCTAAAGTGCAAGATCAGAATTATACGACTTTTAACCCGAAGTAATAGAAACCAATGATTTGCACTTTCCGAACGCTTTGACCGTAACGGAAGGAGAGTTGTCATCGAGTTAGGCTTCTTAGGCCCTTTTCATACTACACTACAATACACT